ACCCAAAAACTGTTACCACCAAAAAATTGCATGAAATTTAGTCCTACGAAAAAAAATTTTTTTTCCTGCAAGCGTTCTTTTAAAACAACTATTACAATGAAATTTAACCAAGCTGAGTACCAATTGACGAGAGCACAAAGCAAAAAAAGTTCTAATCATGCTGTCACTTATTTGGTTATGCTCTCGAAGATCCAGAACAGATCTGATACAAGCATCCCTCAAAGAAATTTTGGCAAAACCGCTCAAATTAGAAAAAAAACGTTAATAAAACTTGATAGCCAAAAGCGCTAAACCAATACCCAAAAAACTCGTACTCAACAAAAAATATAAATTCAAACTTTCCTCAAGGCACGTTATATTACATGGTGATAAATTGTGGAAGATTCATTTTCTGAATTCACAAATCATCAGCAATTCAGACTGCAACACACGAAAAAGCAATGGTAAACACAATATATTGATATAAAACGGTTGCATTCCAAATCACTTCAAACGGCAAAGATCAGATATGGGCTGCAGATGAGTAACAACTTTCAATTTCTCTGACATTTTTTTCAATCAATAGAAGCAGATACAGGATTGTGATTCCACAACATCGCTAATTCTGGCTGTAGATAGGTTCTTTAGTGAGCTACTGGCCTAACAGAATAGGAAGTACAAAACTTATCTAAGAATTCTGTTTCGTCCAGCCAATTGATATTGATGCAAAATTTCCACGCCACAAAATGGGAAAAGGAGCATCTAGCACATTCAAGATTTAATAACACACCAATCAGAATCAAAATACTAATGAACATCACTAATTGATTTAAGAAAAAGCAAATTTTCCGTGTATTCCCCTTAAACTGATTCAGTACGGTGTCTTTTGTCCTTAACTGCATCGTATTTGATAATATTCAACTGTAAAACGATGGCGCATGCGGAAACTTTGGTTTCTCCTTGTTGAGAAATGAAAAAGAAAGATTTTCTGCAAATCGAACAACTGTTCCAAAGAGAAGTCGGAGCAGCAGAAATACCAGAATCGCATATAGCGAAATTCTTGCAGGTACGTTTACGAGACAATGCGCTGCATTTTTTACCGACTCTGCCATAAAAAAACAGTGACAACGATCCGTACAGGCTCGCAGCCTTAGAAGATCATTTCTACCATCTTGCGTTTAACCAACTAAAATGTTCACGTCCTGGTGTTAGAGCAACTTCGTTCTAACCCCAAAAAAACATAGTTAAATATTTCTATGTGAGCCTAACAAAAAATTGCAACAAGCGTACCTAACACTAGTTTTGCCACCCGCAGCCCCAATTAACGGTACATCAGCCATTGTTAAAAAAAGCAGCACAATTCCTGCAGATTTTGCTTGAAGACAAAAAATAGTAAACTAAGTAAATGACAACATAGATGAGCAAATCAAACGATTGTTCACAAAAAGAGTGTCAGAATAGTTGAGATCGAAATTAATGGAGCAGCCATCTGCTATAAGCGTCCAAAAACTGTGTAATTTATCAAAAAGTTCAAATCACGATTCGTGAGACTTGCCGGAAAAAAGACTGCCCGGAAAACGGTTTCAACGAAATCAAGGACAAAATATCAAAACATTTAATACACGCTCTTACAAAAATTGTCTCAAATCAAGAGCAATTGGAACGCAATTTCAACACAATAAGATCTCAAAAAGCTGATTACCCTCAAAAAGTTCGGATTACCCTTCAGAACAACATCAAAACAACACAAATTAGAATGCTCTGTTTAGTGGTAATGAACATTACCCAAATGAATGGTTTGATCCACAAAAAAATTGGCAGATGCAAACGAAAAAAGCAAATCAGTTTGGATCCGGCAAAAGAAAGTTTATTTTTTGAACAAAATGACCAATTACAGCTCAGCGCTATTCTCAGTGGCACAACATCAGCAGTACCCAAACAAGCAGCAAAATCAGCAAGTTTTGCAAACTCAACTAGCACAGATACAGCAACCAGCGAATTACCGGCAGCCACAACACAAAGTCTTGCCAATCAGATACCACAAATAGAAACTCACAATCTCAGCTGACCTTTTGTACCAATGATCAGAGCATCAGCTAAATCTTGCGACGTTTGTTCAAAACTTAAACTACACGGCAACTCAATGCTGATGGCGTCAGAAACCACAATGAAACGGTAAATTGTTATCTTTTTTAATTGAGCCAAAAAAAAATTAAAAGACCACTGAGTCAGCCCTCAAATAATCCAAATCACATAAACCACCTCATCAATCAGTCCAGCACGAATTTAAAACCGACATTTAAGCAATAATTCCCGCCTAAGTAACAGTTTTAACTTACCTCAAAATACGCTAAAGAGAGTTTGAGAAGATCTAAAAGACAAAACACTTAAATTCTGCCCTCTCAAACAAAAAGAACCAAAATGCAAGAGAATCTATCCATCTCCCACTTTTAATCCCAGGTGGCCGAATTCACTTTTCCATATAAATCCAATATAAAAATTTTTTCTGACTTTTTAAAAAGAAGTTACAACCTTTGATTCTAAGTAAATGGTTTATTCCTTTCTTGCGACACAAAGTTTGATTATTCACAGTAAAAAGCAGTATATATTTTGTCAAAATTTGGTGTTTTTTTCTGACTACTGTATAACTATCAGAAGAAAAAGTTCATCCACCCAGGAAGATGTTTTTTTGTGAGGTAGTGTAACATCACTGCTTGATGTCACGCTTTCCTTATACGCTGATTTATAAAAATAGATATAATAATTCATCTTGCTCATAATTTGAGCTCAATCAAACTATTTTTCTTAACTATTTTACTTGAGTTACTTAATTCCAATCAATGGCAGATTTAACCCAGCTGAGCACCAATTGATGAGAACACAAGCATAAAAAATTACTCAAGCATTTAAATTACTCTAATAACCCAGCAATTGACACCACTTTTTGTTCTTCCTCCTCCTTTCTCCTCAAATTGAAAGTCATAGTGTTCCCCTTCCAAAAAAGAATGGCGAAAAATAAAGAAAATTGAAAGCCGTAATTATATGTTTTGCAACCTTCAATTTTCAGAACAGTGGCAAAGCAGAGCTTTCCACTACATGCGTTACCATACAAACATAGCATAGCTTGCAACTAAAAACATAATTAGCCGCGTCAACTAAATCTATAGAAACATTTTTCGAGGGGAAAGTGAGCCAATAAAACGTGCGAAAACTCCCGTTGAGTCGAAAGAAAATTGCTCAACTAAGCGAACAACAGTAAACAGACAAACATAGCCAACTAACAGTTGGAAACGATTAATGAACGTAAGTAAACACTTGAAAAAATCTCAACTTTCCAATTTAAAAAAAAATAGATGCCCTTTAAGCTCCAAATTCCCAGAACAATTTTTGATTGGGGTTTTTTTGATAACATGAAACCAACTAGAGAATTTTGGACTAATAGGTAAAGTTTTTTGTTTCCGCAGGTTCTTAATTGGGGATTGCTATTTACGTCAATTTCAGCAAATGAATTTCAAGGAACTCAAAAAGAGCATATATACCTAAAGACATTCATAAATGCATCAATATGTATGAATGCCCATCAGTAGTTAATTGAGCATTTTAAGGCTTTTACAGAAAAAAATAACAAAAAATTCAGCAAGACCTATAGAAAGGTTTTTACTACATTCATTCCTCTTAAGCAAAAATCCATTAAGTGATTTGAAACAGATTTTTTTTGAAAAATTTGTTTTGGACCTATTTCGAGCCTACGATTTTTTCCGTGTCAGTCGTAATCGCTAGCCCTAGACCAACCGTCCCAGTAAACTACGAAATTTAAATTTATGAGAAGCCAAACTATAAACTAATGATTAATTTGGTTTTGTTCTGCAATTTAGTGACCCAATAAATCATTCTGCTTTGATAAGGTTTTCTAATCGCAAGCGTACGAAGGTACCAACTTTTGAAAAAAAAAAACAATTTTTATTTAACTTAAACATAGCCAACTGAGAGTTGGAAAAGAGCAATGAACGCAAGGAAAATAAAAAAAAAACTGACTTGGTTTTTGCAAAAAGCTTCAACTTTTGAATTTCGAAGAAAAAGTAGATGATTTGAAAGCTCTTTGAATTTGTAGAACATTTTATGATGGACAGTTTTTGATAAAACCAACCATTTCGAGAAAACTGGATCCATAGGTAACACTTGTTTCACTGGGACTACTGATAATTCATTTCGATTTTTGAAATTAGAAGTCGGTCACATTTTCGTGACCTTTACACTTTTGCTGCTCGATAGTGGAGTTTGCCTTCCTTTTACATAGAGCCGAAGTTGTACTTCGATTGCACAAGCAATAATATGACCGAAAACGCTCCTGGGAAAAACTGAATGAGTAGAACTTTGAGTCTACAAAACTTCATAAGTGACGTACCCGAATTATGAGTCTACATAATTGCTAAGTGACGCAAGCCAATTAAGACACATTAGCAGTAACACTTTCAAAACGATGAAAACGACACATTTTTTTGCAACAATTGGATCGCAACAATATTTGCGTTTTAGGTTGGGAAAAAAGAAAGTTCATACCATAACACAAGCTATGCTTTTGTAAACAATGCAAATGCACTGAAACTAAAAAGAAATCTTAATTCAAACCGCGAAATTGAGCGTGAACAATATTTTTAAGGCTTTTCCTGAAAAAAAAATCACCAAGACCTATATAAAAATACTCACTACGTTCATTACTCTTACAAATAGCGTATACTTTTATGTTTTTCTACATAACCTGCAGAAGATTACAAAAACGGTTTTTTGACAGCGTGCCTATATTCAATCGCATTAGAATTATTTGCGCTTTAAGTTCACAACTTAATTAGAAAAAAGAATTATGTGTCAAACAATGCCTGTCGCAAAATAATGAAATCTGGTTCAATTTGAGAAACTAATCCACCGTCTAATGCTCCCCCCCCCCCTATGCTTTGGGATCACTAAGTGAAGTTTCAGTTTCAATCAGAATAAGCAAATTCTTGTTAATATTTCATACTTACCTGGTGTAAGTTAACATCAACACTGACAATCTGAGACAATGTAATAGCGACATGGACATCTATCTGCTCCGATTGATTTAAAGTGGGTTTCGCTATTGAGGCGTAGCCACTCATCAAATTTTCGCTTAGAATTTGATACAGTGGTCGTCTGTTCTGGCCATAATACTTCATTTGTCGCTTTGTTAAATGCGAATTAGTGATATTTAAATTATCAAAAATTTCCAACTCTTTTGAATTCAACAATAAATTCATTGCGGAATGAAGAAATATCAAACTAAGATATTTCATGGTCAGAGAAATTGCACTTGGGTGCATTCAAAACATTACACCGCATAGTTAATGAGTACGCAAAAATATTATTTCTTAGTTTCTGAATTCTTAAACAAAGTTTGTTATATTATTTATATAAGACGCTCCTAACTCTTACTGCTGTTCCAGACAGCTTTAGGCTTCCAGACAGCTTTAGACTTCCACGAAACTTTAAGAGTGCTATTAAGGTTCGTTATTGACACTGAAATCTTTTTGACAACCACAAACTGTTGTTTCAAATCAAAGGCAGCAGCTTGACTTAGATACGGTTGTCAATTTTTTTTTCGCATAGCCAATGTTTATTTTTTGGCACCTTCGGTTGTCAATGTTTATTTTTTGGCACCTTCGGTTTCGATTATGTCTTTAACGCTACAGATAAAAAACGGAACAAAACTTCTGATGTAAAGAAATTTTCTGTTCCATCAAAAATGAAAACAAATAAGTCAAGTCTGTGAGTTCAAATGTTCTAAGTAAAACTTGTGTCTTCTATTTTCTGCAGCTTTTATTTCTTCAGATTTATTGATGTAGACTTGATTCAAGTAGAGCAGAGATCCAGACATTGTGCCCAAAATAGTTCCCAGAAGGGACCCCACAAACATGCCTTTCACTCCCATAGTCATTCTGTACAAAGTACCACCAATGCAGCCACCTAAAATAAAGAAACACAAAACTTTACGGTTGCTATAAAAGAAGCGAAATTACACTTCGGCACTTATCGAAAACCTTGGAAAATGTCAATTTCGTAGGTGATTTTCGCTTTATATAGTAACTCGAAAATGTTTTATATAGTAACTCGACATGCTATCAAAAAACCGTAAAGGTGCCATCAAAAGTAGCACCAATATTTACGACTTAGGTTAGAAAAATATACAGTCGTACTATTGCACAAACGCTCACTTAAGTTCCTTAGAGTAAACTTTTTCAAATCGAATATTCGTTTTTCAAACTTAGCCGTGGTTGGGCGTGGATAGCCAAAATTTTCTGCAAATCGACAAATTGTAATAAGCCACAATGCATAACAGTAAACTGAGCGTAAAAGCTCAATTAACAGGCACTATACTTCTAATGTAAGCGCAGATGAGCAAGCATTCGCTACTTGCAAAGCCTTGTTACGAATTGCGACGAAGCATAAAACCAAAAACCACCAGTAAAAAGAAACACCATGAAAAAGAAAAAAGCCAGGAAAATGTGATGTTGACAAAGAGACGTTTAATTTTCCAAGTTTTCCGCTATTATAATAACCCTAACAAACCTATTGAATAATGTGATAATCTGTAATCATCGGTGTAAATCCAGAGCAGGCTCTGAGTTGCAAGGACGGAAGACACCAGAAATGACACTCGCCATCCGAATCTGAAGCCATACTTGAAGAAAGCTCTGAATTGAGCAGAGTGCCAATCCCTCACCGACTGCACTCTGTGGGCGTAGACTGCCTGCTCGTTCAATCTCTTAAAGCTTTCGCCAGCTTGGTGCGCTCTTAGTCCACCTTAAAAACTAATATGCTATCAAAACTTAGTTGAAGGTTGAAAGAGTAAATACTTCCATATACGAGAAAAATCAGCAATAAAAAGCAAAAAAAAAACGCATGAAAAATGAAAAAAAAAAAGGAAACTCAACTTAAAAAGCAATTGCGAAAATTAGAATTGCTCCGAATTTCAAAGAAAAAACGGAATAGTTAAGCTCGACACTGTGTCTTTATTCCGACTAATTTCAGCAAAATAACTTCGATGAAGATATCAACATCTTAAGTTAAAATAAAAAAAACTGTACCCCATAAATTTTAGATAATTTCTGCGGGTTTCAAAATGGCCTATTTTGCTAAGCTTTTCGAAACTATAGACCGCTATAAGTGCAAAGGATTAATTGACGAATGAATTGAGGCAAGCTAATTGGTCCCATTAAATAACTTTTCACAAGACTCAAGTTAACCACTTTTGATTTGAGAAAAATCAGATCAAGAAGACAAACACCGGGGTTAAAATTTCATTCATTGAGAAATTACTAAGCGGCATTTAAGCCAAACACTGAAATAGATGCCCGTTAGGCTGAAAAGAGATTTGTCATAAAAAATTTTCAGATCGAATTCCCCTGAATCACAACAGCTTCAATTTATTTTTTTACCATCAAACGACGTAATATGACTCAATTATAACTTTTTAACCAAGTCGAAACTTTTAAGACGACAAAAATAATGAACAGAAACAGTACATATCATTATTTGCATATTTACAAATTAATAATATGAATCAAAACAAATTTCAACTTTGTACACAGAGGCGAAGCTTACCTTGCAGCACTTGCGATACACAATCAAGCTCCAAAAATCAAAAGATAATGTGTCTTAAACGAAAACTAAAAAACATGAACGAATTTTGTTGAAAAAATCGTAAGCTCAAAAATCGGAAAAATTTTATTGTAATTGTTATAGAAGTCAATTACCTTCAAAACAAAAGAAGTATTTGGGCTTAACTTCACCATTTCTTTCTCATAACCAATCGATGAAAACGATAAAACTTTTCGGTAAAAAAATTGAAATAAAATAATTCCTAAATGTACTCAAAAACAGTTCATTAAAACTTGCAACCAAACAAACTGCATATCAAATAAAAACAATCGGATATAAAGGCCCAATCCACTATAGTATAAGATCAAAATGAAAAAAAAAACGAGAAAAACAAAATAACACATGAATGCAAAAATACTAACATTTGACACAAAAAAACTTGCAGAAAACCTGAAAAAAACTCAGAAAGCCTATGAAAAAAACGCAATTACTTCAAGAATTATCAATTATGAAATTTAAACGCAACGGTAAAAGAGCTAGATCACAAAAAAATCATCCGAAAAAACGCCAAAACTGGAAATGAAAAAATATGGAAGGTTTTTCAAACATTTCAGCCAGAAAGAACCACACGCCTAAATCTCGTGCAAAACTTGCCACCATATTCCTTTGTAGACAAAAAACTCGGGTCAAACCGGCAAAAAAAACAACCTGGAAATGTATCAATTTTTTTGACAAATTCAAACAATACGTTAAACCATCAACTTGAATCGATTTTCAAATAAAACTGCTCAAACCTAAAACACGTAACACTAATTTAACCTACAACTAGTTTCACGCACTTATAGAACAAAAAAATTAGAACTAAATTTGCCGTCATGAAAATGAAGAAAAAAGTATCAAAAAATCTACCAAAAACTTACAGAATTAATTACACGGCAAGTAAGCCGACAAAAATTGAGTCGAAATCAATAAAGCCGACAAAAAATGAACTTAAACCTAGATATCTTTTTCAGCTGTTAAACAATTCTCACTTCAGACGTTGAAGCCAGCTTTTGAATTACAGCTGTTAGACGTGCATCCTGAGTAGAAATAGAGATACATTTGGAGATGACCGTATTTCAGACATCCTGTGCACAAAGTTGTTTACGGGAAAAAGGTATAGTACCCGATTGTAATACCCTTGCTTATCTCAAGGGTAATAAAAACAGCTTTAATCAGAACAAAATTCCCTGCTTTAGAAAGTGGTGGGACGATCGAAAAAAGCCGACAAACAATGGTCTGGCAATATGAAAAAAATGACTTCCGGTTAAAATCAAACCATCCGCCTAAGTAATCCCAAACTGGGTCTTTACATGGGATAAAACGAAACCGACTAAACTAATCAACGACTTAAGAATTAATAAAACTCGAATTGTGATGTCTGGATTCCACACTTGGCTAAGAATAAGAGTAAAAGGACACGGGTATAACAATGGTATAATCCAGTCAATGCTACAACAATGCAAATCGCAATCATGAGTACAGCCCTTGATTATTTATTTTTCTCCATCCAAGTCTGGATTGAATTAAACATCTCAAATTGTTAATCTTCACACTCCCGTAATTTTGCAAAAATGATCACAGGTTAAATATCTTTCCAATTTACGCCCAGGACATCAATTGCTTTCAGATGGTTGAAAAGGCGCAAAAATCTCCAAGAACTAATTAAACTTGCTTGAAATTAAAATTTCAGGTTTCAAATAAAGCATAATTAAGCTGTTGTAAGCCTGCTCGCTCGCTTTTTTTTCTCAAAAATGAAATAAAATCAAAATTTTGAACCAGTTTCTCTCGATACTGAACATCTTTGTTTGTTTTTTCTCGCACATTCATGTCTTACAGCTCCTGTTGGCATGCACTTACAAGAACCGGTAGCACCAGTGAATGAAATTTTTGCTAAATTATAGACACCTGTGACAACCCAGCGAGGTTACTTGCACTGGAGGCTTTACATGTGTCGCGGAGGCAGCCGGCCCTGAAGCAGCGGGAAGAGTACCGGCAACGCCACCTCACTCCAAAGATGTGATGCTTTTGGATACATGTTCTAGTCCCTGACAAGCTTGTTCCTATTCATTCATTTGTTTTTGTTTAACTCATTGTCTGCAGTTTCTATCTACTAGTGGACGATGTTACCACATTTTCAGAAGAATGTTATTCCTGATGATGCAACTTTACGTCACGAAAGCACTTGAATAAGGTACGCACTGATTGCACTTGTGATTTATCTCGATACCGAGAAAAATTTTTTATGTCGTTCGGATCACGACTGGAGGGGCTTCAATTTGATATATCACTCGACCCATTCCGATGATTATTTGTGGTACCTGATTTTGCGTGAAAAAAGGAGAAAAAACTAAAACACACCCGAATACAAAGTTCTTCCACAATTTTTAAATGGTCGGAACAAAACAATGACTTCTTTTGTAACTCTGATGGCATGGCGGCGGTGAACAAAATCTATCGTTCCAATAAACTTTTGAAAAACAGACTTCAAGAAAGGGTGGAGATTGTTAAGTAGATTAAATAAGTCAAATAAGTCAAATTTTTGACCAATAAGAAAGCAGCAAAATTATTATTCTGAATCGAAAGCGCGTGCTTATTTACTTTTATTTATAGATGTGGCATTCGACCAGAATTGCGCTTAAAATGCATGACAAAAAGAATTTTCACCTGGAGCAGTTTAGAGGGAGAATTGACTGTTTCAAAAAAATAACGGTCTTATTGGGCAAAATGAACAAACTGGGAGAGGTCGATTTTGACTGACATGGAGAATTTTAAAAATTCGTTTGTAAAGACACGTGACTATTTTGATTTTCGCGAATACAGAAAAAGCGCAAAAATCATAACAACATATTTCGCCAGTCGAAATAAGAACGACGATTTTCGCGAGAAAAACGGACAGCAGATAAAAATTTACAGTCAAAGATATTAGCGGAAGAGCATTCCGAATTGTAACGCTTGTGCAGCTACAATCGTTACGGAGTAGTTCCCGAGAACAACAAGACAGCTCTTCGACCGGATTCAAGAATCTGGAAGGGTCTTGGGAAAAGACTTGGGACTCAATTTTAACAACTTTTAGCTTCCTGGTATGTCCTGAATTGAATTAAATAACATCAAATTCGTTTTCAGATAATGAGAATCTAGGAGTTGAGGGAAAGGGTTGATCCATCTCCGATGGATATGATGAGTTTCATCTACTGAACAAAAACAATAGCAATATGATAATAAGTAGTAGCCCTGTTTTTAGGAGTGATCTCGTGGTCTAAGGAAACTGAGACCCAGCCAACAGCTCACTATTTCTGCATATTAGTAATTTAATTTGCGCGATTTGGCCGATAGCCTTAAATAGTAACGACTTTCTCGACCCGATGTTAATGGACCACACATTGCACTGGCTTTGGTAGAGACGGTTAAAAGCATGTGAAGCTGTGTTTAGACGCTAGCCAGTCGCGAATTAAATAAAAAGAGCAATCGTTCCATTTGAGAGATGTAATTTAGTTTTTTTTTCAGCGACTATCAGAAGACACAATTCGTTCTAAAACCTTAGTTTTGCATGCAACATTTTCCTAACACAGGTCGATTGCTTTTTTAACTTAAATTTGTCTGTCCGAATTTTATGCAAATTATAGAGGGGTGAAAACTCTTTTAAAAATACCATTGTAGGGTTAATTTAAAAGATACCCGATTTATTTAAATTAAAATTTACCGAACCAAATAACCCGCTGCTAAGAGTAAAAGCCACTGCTGCAGGAACATAAACTTCTCTCAGCTCAAATAGTCTTCTGTAAGCATTCTCTGTCGAGGCAGCTAACTTCGAATACAACCGTAACTTTTCGTTTCCAGTAAGTTCTCTGATGATTTTTTGATCATCAAGGCTTAAGTCCAAAGACTCGTGGGTCATTTCGTTTGGCGGTAATTAACTTGAAGCCATCATTTTCATATCATCATTTTGGGGCATAAAGTTCTGGAAAACAAATAGCTTTAAAAAGCTGACAGTTTCTGTGGTCTTTTTAAAAAGCACCAGGGGACGCGGATTTTTATGAAAATCACTTTGTTGCGAGAATAAGTTTGTGAACGAATAAAAGTGTAAGTCGTGACAGAATCTGTCGTGACAGGAGATCCGTCCATCATTCCTACCGCAAGCGATAGTCAGAAGGCCAGTAGGACAGGCCAAGTTGGGCACCTACAAGCAGACGCGACACAGGGAGGCTAGGGCGGTATCTGAGGGCAGCTTGTTATTATTAGGAGTGGGCAGCAAGAATCATGTGGAAGCCGAGACCTTTAACGGGTCCACTTGGTTCCTCAAAAAGTGGACTTTACCAACACGATAGGACTCAAAGGACGGTTGCTGCAATGGATGTGGGAGCATTTCGAGAGAAGATTCGATGACTCCAACACCTGTAGCTGGAAAATTCTGTGCAACTGTACCCGAAACAACTGCAGAAATATGTCTAACTAACTGAACTGAAACTGTGGGGGGAAACCCCTTGCGTACGCTAAATTCATATTATTATTATTATTAAGCCAAGCAACGTCGTAGGGCAGAGAGAGCGACTCATGCCCAGCCTGCTTGGGCCAATCTGGGAGAGACAAGAAAGTGTTGTAGTTGGCCTTATCGGGTTTTTCTCTGAAAAATTCTTCAGTAAAAGCGGATGGAATAGCGCTTCAGGACTATAAACAGAAATCATTAGAGGCACGAAGGAACTCCGGGGTATCGGTGATGCCGCATTCCGTGAGAGACGAGACCAAATGAGCTGACTGACACGAACTAAGACAGGCAAGGGTGTGTTGGTAGCGTACTTGCCGAACGCCAAGCCCACTATCATTGACCGACGTGTAGGACCATGGCAGATCAAGAACAGGTGAGCTAACTATGGCAGAAAGAGCATTGTGGTGGAGTTCATCAAATACTTGCAGGGAAGCTACGACAAACATCAACGTTGTATCGATGATAATTTTTTCTCCACCAGATTTT